CATGGAAGCCCCAACAAATTGAGTGACTCTTAAACCATTAATGCATATGGTGAAAGGAGCCTGCCCAGGAAAACATGGGGAAATTTAAACAAAGCCTCTTTCACCCCCCCATCCTGTAGTTTTATTAGCCAAGCTGGGGAGCTCAGCACTGGGATTAGAGCCTGGGGCTCCTGGCTTCTGGCCTGCTGAATACATGGGTTTTACATCACAGGCTGTGCTGTTACAGTCCAGCCTGGAGACTTCCAGCCTGATTCTATCTCCAGTGCACTAATGGGGCATTTCCTGATGGTTTGGGTTTTTTCTTTTTTGAGCTAAATAAATGCCTTTCCAGAGATTCATTACAGTTTGCAAACCCATGTGACTAGGAAGAACAGTAGCTTGAATGCTCATTTTGGAAAAACATCTGCAGGCTGGGGATTTTGTGGGGCGCACATCCTCCTCCAGAAAGGCTCCCAGACATGATGTGTGGGGAGCAGTTGCCAGAAAGGGTTCCTTGCACAGCCCCTGCTGAAGGCATCACGGCCCAAAGGGCACAGCACCATGCAGCCATCTGTGCTGCACACCAGCCTTGGCAGGGCCTGACCCTGGGGTGTGCTGGTTCAGGAAACTGGACTGCCTGAAATCTGCTCCTTCTCTTCTCTAGAGCAGAAACTGGAGCCCAGGCACTTTTAGAAAAATGCAAGAGTTATTTGGCCCTCAGCAAAATAGTTCCTTTTCAGCTGGGCACACAAGAGCCAGAGGCCAGGCCCTGTAGCTGTCAGGAGGAAGAACAACACTAGTGCTCTGAACACAGAAAGCAAAACTTGAATGTTAGCATCAGAGCTGCTGAAACTGCTGGGGATTCTCCAGCAAAGAGACAGGAAAACAGAGTTAAGGGCCATGCAGTGAGGCAATCCTCTTCTGCCCTCCAAAGTCAGTAGGAAGGTGAGGAAGAGGATGGCACTGCTGTAGCAGCCAGTTGCAAAAGCTGAAGGAAAGGTAACGGGATGATTTGCTCTGTGAACAAACTGAAAAGAAAGGATCAAAGAGGTTCAATAAAATGTGTGCTCCGCTGTCTGCACAGCCAAGGCACACCACCAACTCCAGAGCGTGGTGCTGACTCAGCAGTTCTCAAGCATTCAGAGGCAGCAGGGTGAAGCGAGCCAGCTTCACGGTCAGATTCTTGCTCCCAGTTACTCAAACACTCAGTTTTTATCCAAGCAGGAGTTCTGGCTCTGCCACAGCCCATGGCCTCTTCCAACTCAATACTGCTGCAAGGCAGTGTCTCATGTTCCTCAGTCTGGGATTTTTGGTTAGCAGGAGGAACAGAGGAGCACAGATGGTCCCGACTACTGCTGAGCTTTAAAGCAATGTGTCTCCAAGAAAAAATACAGGCTTCTGTTTCTGACTTTCTGCTCCAGGTCATAGATCTTTAAGAAAGGTGTGGGAAGGAAGAACAAGTTACATTACTGTCACTTCCATGGTGGACACAATATGGCACAACAGCTTCGAGAAATCCTTTCCTGAGGCCTGAGAGCTGGAGATGCCCTCCAGAGCATCCCGGGAGGAGCGCTGAACTCCAGGGAAGCGCAGGCTGCATGCCATGGTGTAAAACACTGTGGGGACAACACAAAGCCAGGGCTGCTTTACATTGCATGCCACAGGCAGGAAAAATCCCAGTGCTACGCACATGTAAAGGAAAGCGCTTCTGCCTGCACATTTGTTCATAAAACCTCCAAACAGACAGAGCAGTCGGTGCTGCAGCCCTGAGAGGGCAGCTGGAGGAGATGGGGCAGGCAGGGAGAGGGTGTCGAGTACTGACGGACACCGAGTGATTCCCTTTGAAGTTCTCATTGGACTTTATTTCCAGTAAGGCCTGGAAGTGCAAATAAACCATAAGCAGGTTTTCTGTAAACGTCTTGCCAAGAGGTTCACGGCCAAGAGCAAGTTACACAACCTCCCCGGTTTGCTATTGTAGGAAGGGCAGAGATAAAGGAGGAGGGGAGCTAGATAGGAGGTCAGGAGATTTTGCTTTACCAGAGTGCTTTTGTGCAGTGCCCTCTCTTGCATGGTCAAACCACCCTGGGGCAGAGCATCTGCTGCCCACAGTGATCCTGCTGCTCGTGATCCTGCTGCCCAGCAGTGATCCCACTGCCTGGGCTGCCCCATGCAGCAAGGGAACACTGAACCCTTGTTTGAGCTTTGTCTAGCCTCTCCTTCTCTGTCCTAAAACCAGTATGTTTTGGTGAGAACTTTAGAAAAAACAGATT